AAAAAAAAAAGAAAAAAAGGAGAAAAACAGCATTATTTGGGATGGGGTAGTCTACGTAGCAACAAACTTAAAAAATAAACAACAAAAAAAAACCTGAACAAAAGCTTGGCTTCCATTGAATAAGATTAAATATATATATATTTATATATAAAAAATTACATTGGCTGTATGTGAAACCTTGAGGTGCTGAAGAATAAAATAAAAGTGTTAAACAGAGGAAAAAACTTCTTTTTGTTTTGTTTTTGTTTTTCTTTTTTTAAATAAGCAGCTCTGTACAATGAAGGCTCATTATGAAAAAAAAAAGTCAACAGCATAGTTATAAAAGAAACCACAATTTTTTAAAAAATCATCTTCTAAGCAACTGTGGAATTTGAAAAATGTAGCAGTCACATTTACAGACAGAGCTATCGGATCAGCAACACCGCGATTTCCTCAGAGTCCCCAGAGGAACATGCAGAACAATGCGTGCACAGAACAGGTGAGGGAGGGAGGGCAGGGGAGAAAAACAAAATAAAACAAAAAAAAAAACCAGAAAAAGCTGATGCACAACATGGAGGGAGAACTTTTTTTTTCCTCTTTTTGAAATATCGGACTTAAACAGAAAACAACGGAGGAGGCAACCGGTAAAATCTACAGTTTTGAGAACACCCCACTGGCAAAACGAACGAAGACTCGTTCCCGTCTCCCGTGTTCAAACCTGACGTGGTTTAAGAGACTAAAGAAAGTTTTCAGACTTTGGAAGGAAACGTGACTTTTATTAATCCCTGTATCCCCTCCCCCAGCGACCACACCCCCCACTCCCCTCAGCATTTTCCTTCCTATTTGACAACGTTTGAGGCATTTTGAAATCAAAAAGACAACGCGATGAATGTTGACAGAGAGGGAGTATAATACAGTCTGCGTTACTAAAAGGCAATTCTTCAAGGAGGACATTTCCTTTAAAAAAAAATAATAATAACAACAAGACAGCAAACTAGTTTATACAGTACTAAACGCAAAAAAAAAAAAAAAAAAAGGGTAAAAGAATTAACAATTCATAAATAAAAGACAGGTCCCAGACCTGTTATTTGTGAACCATTTTCTTAAATAGGTGCATTATGTAAATCTTATGTACAACAAAATTACTTTGCATAACAACTGCAAGGACACGGAGGGGGAGGTGAAAATCATATTGGTTTTGGTTTTCTTCTCTTGAGATTTCTGTACGTTTGATTTTCTGGAGCAAAACTGGTGAAAGAGGAGTTCTGGCTGGCTGGGTCCCAGCCAAGGAAACCCAGGTAAGTAATGACAAATGAATATTTTTTTTTTTTCTCCACACGGCATAAAACACAAAGGCAAATAAAATCCACAAAGGTGGTGGGTTTTTTTCCTCTTTATAATCCTCTTGCTGCTACAAAGTCCTTTTTTTTTGTTTGTTTGTTTCCTTTTCAATTTAAATTATGTTGATTCTGAAATCACAAAGCTGAAAGAATCCAACGGGGTCCAGGCTTTCCCCGTCCCCACCGACACACACAACGCCACTCCGCTACCCCACAACCACAACTCCTGCCACCAAGTCCCCGGGCTCACTGCTCTACAGGTATTAGCCAAAAGTTATTTTCCGGTTTGTTGTTTGTTTCAGTGTTTTTTTTGTTTTGTTTTTATTCTGTTTTAAAAATCTTTTCCTTCTCACGAGAAGCAAAAGAGAAGAGTCGGAGGCAGGGAGAGGAGTTCACCACGCTTCGGTGTAGCGGACGTCCACCTCTTTCAGGTTGGGTAGTTTAGCCTGCGTGGGAAGGGAGGGAAAGGTCAGAATTAATGACACGTGTTCAGGACTCGGGTAAAAAGTTCCTGTCAGATCTGTACCGTCAGTAAACTGGGAGGATTGACTGTTGGCCACAAACTGCAGGAAGATGCGCGACGCCCTCGATCCTGCGGGGCATCGGTGCTGAGTTCAGCAGCGAGCTGAAGCGCACGGGTGTGGCGAGGGAACAAGATGCTGAGCCCTTACAGACACATCAGACTAAGTCACACCTGCTCTAAAACCCATGAACCAGCAATCAGGTCCAGATCAGACCCTGATCTTCATTTTTCATACAGATGCTCAGGAAAATGTGTTTGTCAAACTCCCGCCGAGAAGGCAGAGGACTCAAACTGAGTGCACAGCCCTGCGTTCCTCCTTCAGCCTCCACACTAAGGCGCTGCTTGATTTCCCCCTTCATGTGCTAATAAAATTTGGAGAGCTTAGCATCTTTTTGGTGTCTTTGTGGTCTCCCTTCCTTAAGTTCCGTGTTGTTCCTGAACTACCCCAATGCGGGGCAGACGGGGATCGGCAGTTTGTGCCGTTCCTCCTTGTCGATCCCGTTTCCGTGCTCCCCGACCATAATTGCAAGGTTAATTCTCTCAAAACAAATAAACACGTTTAATTAGGCTAGGGCATAATTGAGGACTTGGAAGTTTCTAGGAGTCATTATTACCTCACTCCTTGATTTATGTGCACGCATATTTTGATAAGAGCTAGTCATAATCCTACAGACACTGCCAGCAAATAATTTTTCAGTTAGGCAATAATGACTTCAGTAGTGGGTGTTTATTTATTGTCTGGTTCAGCCTGCCTGGTACATATGTGGGTGTCTGTGTGTGTGCAAGTGTGTTTAGTGGGGTGGGGGATGGAGCTGAGAGGAAATGTCATCACTGGCTTGTGCCCCAAATGCTCTTGCAGACCAAGGGGAGAAAAAGGAAAGATTTGTATCAAAAATACATTCTTTGAAGTCTGAGTTGTTCTCAAAAGACCTACAGACTCGTGCCCCGGGGAGAGAAACCATTACCCTCCCTTGAACACACAGAGCACTAAAAAATGGTCACCAAGATAAATCTCAGTGGAAGAGGTGAAAGGGGAAAAAGTGATGCCTGCATGTTTTCTGAGCTTTTTGAATTCTCTGCAACCACTGGGACCCTGCTCACAGACAGTTTTGCTTTTTGCCCTAGCAAGGCACTTACTTGTGTTGCTGCTAATGCAATACCAGAGCAGAGGGAACTTGTTAGGAAAATACGAGTTTCAGTAAGAAGTTAGTGGCAAAGGGGCTCCAAAGCAGGGTGGGACTGGGGGAGCCTTTCAACAGATGTGATTTCAGAGCCCTAGGCCAAAATCAGCATTGACCTTGATTGTAAATGCCTGGGGCCTGGTACAAGCTCCACTGTGTGAACCTATCAGCAAGCCAGCTGCTGATCCCAAGGATGACTTCTTAGCATAGACAACTGTGACACAAGTTTTGAAAGCTCGATCTTGAAAAATCCATGCTAGCAGCATTGCAACTGAGTCCCCGGGGGAGCCCTGGCTCCACAGCCAGAACCAAAGAGAGACATTTGCAGCGGATTTTGAAAGCAGAGCAGTTTCAGGGCTTGCCTCAAGTTAGAAACTCAACCTAAGGTTGTGACCTTTTGAGCAAACCCGGCCCAATCCAAGGTTTCAACATAGAAGACAACCTAATAACAAGTTTCATCTTGAGTGCTTGGGTTTCTAAGGTAAGATTTTGGGAGGTGAGACTCACACAACACCAGAGTGAAGGTAAAGTCCACATGAAGTCATGAAAGCTGGCATATCTCAGGCAGGTTTTGTCTGAAACCACCTGGGGCCGTTCCCCTCCCACAGCTACATTCTAGTTCTTTACACCCTTTTGACAAAGTGTTGTGAATTCACAGCAACACCAGACATCTTACATGTCACATTTGGGAACTGGGCAGTTGTGCAGTCGTTCCTGCTTAAAGGCCAGGCCAGTCCTGGAGGTGTCAAGATAAACCTGCACCCTCCTCAATGATTTTCATTCTCCCTTTGCCTTCTGAAACAAAGCTCTGTAATGCTGTTCACCCATGTTACTTCTGGTCCTGTTAACAGTACAGGACATGGTGTGCACTACGTTTTACCTGTTTCTGCATCCTTTATCAGAAACATCAATATGCTCCTATTTATGAAACCTTTACTGATAAAACCTTTACTGTTGAGAGCATTGGTGAAAAGATTCAGTTTCTGATTCTATCATCTCATACTTCTCCATTCAGTATATTAAATATTTTCTGGGTCCATCAAAGCCAGCAACCTCCCAATGCTGTTTTCACTATTTTTTTCCCAAAATAATCCACGTCACCCTCTTCAGATAACTTTCCACCCACCCCATGGGGCCAGTTCTCTCTGCACTAGGCATCACCACCATGCACTTGCTAAATCTACTTCTCATCTTTAGTGGATGCAATTCACAAATACCTTGAGATCTTCATAGGTATCTGCTGAAAGTTTGGTGCTGTTCATATTTAAACTACACAGGCTCTTCATGGCTAAAAGAGAAAATACACAGTTATTTATGATCATTCTGCATTTTCTTAAAATAATCAACTTACAGTAGGCTAAAGCATAAACAAGACATGACTATGAGCAGCACTCTCAGGAAAATGCTGAATAGTGTAAAATACAGAAGTACAAATGGATAAACAGCTGTTTGGGCCCTCATCCAGGAAAAAGTCCCTATTTAGGACGGGCCATTAAGCATATGCTTAAGTCCACTGACTTCAAAGAAGTTCAGTCAACTTCTCATAATCGGTTTCCCGCACATTATTCCGAATAGTGCCCGTTCCCAGTGCTCTGCACGGTGCTCACGGGGGCCATGCTGATCCAGCAGAGCTCCCTCTCCTCCCCCGTTCCCATTTTAGGCTCCAGTACTTAGCAGAATAGTTTCCTAAGATGACCCATAACCACTGGCCTGTCTGGCACGTCCGTGTAGGATCAGGTCCATGAAAGCAGCCCTTTAAACCCAACAGCAAGGTTTATAACACACTGCTGGATGCAGGAGAGGGTTTCATTCTGGCACATCGAGCAGCTTTCAGCGCTCAGGGATTCCTGAATGCCTCACTCTGCCTTGCTGTGTTTAACCTAAGAACAGGGAGAGTTTCACCTCCCCAAAAAAACAAGGAACAAAAAATGCCAGAAGGAGTACGGAACCTGCTGTGCACAGTTGCTAAACTGACTGATAAGTTGCCACGTGGCTTTGCAATCTTCCCGTGCTGCACCACAAGGTCAGGGCCCACCCAGAGGGGACGCCCATGGGAGGGTGCGGGAAGAAAGATGGGATGTCCCAGGGCAACAGGTCACCACGTGAGATGGAGACAGGTGACATCAGTAAAGGCAGAGGCAAGAGTCAGAGCGTGGTCCGGGCTAACAAAGCCCACACGAGGCCACCAAGTGCCACCAGGCTCAGATCACCCTCCCACCTCCCCTGCCCGCAACCACAACCAAGGCCTGTCCTAAATCCCCGCGGAAGCATCGCCGTGGCAGCCAAGAGCTCCACCTCCCGTGTGAACCCGCCTGAATCCCTCAGAACCCGCGGGTGCCCTTCCCGCCCAGCCCGCTGCGGGCACTCACAGCTCAGCGCCAGCAGCCCCGCGTCCGTCACCGGCGTCTCGCACAGGTTGAGCACCTGCAGCATCGTGAGGTGCTCGGACAGGAGCCGCAGCCCCGCGTCTCCAAACTGTGGGGCACAAGCAGAGTTGCGTCTCAAACAATGCACCACCGACACCTCGGGCAGGGCCCTCAGCGCAAATCAGGGCGCGCGGGAACGGCGTCGGCGGATGAGCCCTCAAAGCCGCGCTCTGACCGTTCAACGCAGTCACAAATGACGGGGGGGGGCAAAGCTAATAGTTTTATCCCTGTTTTGCGGGCGGGGAACAGAGAAATTAAGTGACTTGTGCTGCACGCTTAACCACAGCCCATCACTTAATTAGGATGGTGCCTCTGAAGCCCGGACTCTGTACGAGCGGGCTCCCACCCAGGCTATGCACGATGGCTGCGGCAGCCTCAGCCAGTTCCCAACCACATCACACAGAGAAAGCACAATGCAAGTGGTATTAATTAGCTATTTTGGTCTCAAGAACAATGCACTATTGATTGGTAATTGTTCTATTGACCCACTTGGTTTCTGCTGTTTCTAAATTCTAAGATTAATGGAAACCAGGATATCGCAAAATGAAATGGAATCTAAACCATTTCTTTTCTTTTTTAATAAACCCCCCACCACACATAAAATCTTTGTCCAGTGAAATCAAACTCATTTTGAGCAAGAAGCATCAAAATTTTCAAATCCAAAGGTCATATTGTTAAGACAAATCTGGAGGAGATACAAAGAGTCTTAAAAAAAGCAAGCAATCAGTTTCTAATTCATACCCTCCATACAAAAAAAAAAAAAAAAGGAAATTTCTGGGATACAAAATAGTTAGGAACACAAAACAAAATATTTACGTGACATTTGAGTAAAAAAAATGCTGCTTTTTGTAGCTGCACTGAGAATAATCATATTTTTAGGGAGCACTACAAATAAGTGCTAACAGAAAATGGGGAAAAAATATTCAGTGGAGAACCTCAGAGACCAAAAGCAGGGGTAAAACTTGTTTCAATTAACAGCTGAATAATTTATTCAGTTAACTTAGTCTCTTTTCGCTTACAAAATAACCACATTAACATTATATTTTCCTTCTACTTATTCATTATCTGAGTTTCTTTTTGTTGCTGTCAGGTTGATCAGCATTCAGAGCAGTTCACTGCCTAAACTGCACAGACTCTGTGCTTTGCTTGACCAGACGAGATGCACAGCATCATCCTTTCATCCTAAATGCATGAAAACATAAGCACTTCTCAGATGAACAGCCCAGGTACAGTACACAGCAGCAACAATGCCCAACTGGACCATTCAACCCAAGATGGCAGCAACCCTTTTGTAATTAAAAATAAAATAAAATATAAAAATTAAGTTTAAAAAAAAAAAAAAAAAAAAAAAAAAAAAAAAAAATTAAAAAAAAAAAAAAAAAAAAAAAAAAGGCAAAGAGACAAATCAGCCGCCCAGATGAGCAAGGCCACAGGAAGGCCTCGTAAAAATAGCATGAGGACAAATCATCTAAGCAAGCCTCTTCACACACTCTCCTTGTGCTGACGTAATGTGAGATTTCAGAATTAGTCAGCGTTGGTTCCTGTCCCGAGTCTCAGACTGCAAAGCACTTACCTGAGTCGACCACAGGTTCAGCTGCTTGAGCGAAGGCAGTTTAATGAGGTGCTCAGCACAAGCACTTGTCACGTTGGTGAAGGCCAGGCTGAGGTTTTCCAGATTCCCAAAAGATCCCGAGCTTAGCAAGCGGGCCAGGTCTGCATCCTGAAAGGAGGCAACAGATTGACAATCAAGATCATGGACTCCCCAGCCCGGAACCGTCCGTGTCACCGATACTGGTAACCAGCAGGAGTTGCACAATTACTCCACTTGTTTACAGTAACAGAGAACCACACAGAGAAGTTTCTGTTTGTTTGGCAAGCAGCTGGGGCTCTTGTGGCAGCGTTGCTTCACACACCCTGGGAAAAATTTGTCCAAACATTAGGACAAAAATGTTCTTTGCGTGTGTATCCTTCTGAAGGCTTCAGTGCCAGGACGAATGCTGAAGCTGAGTCTTTAAACTTCATGAAGATTTAACCACAAGGTCCAGATCCCAGCTGTGTTCAGGACAGTTACCTGGCCTCAGTGAAGTTAGTCTGGGTTTTCACCAGGCTTAACTGCAGCAATGGTGGGTCTCTTGAGACTTCCACGTCTGAGATCCAGAACTGCTGCCTTTTTAATGCAAAATTCTGACCCCAAATCTACCATTCCAGATCTGCACAGCATTATAAACCTGACAGTCTGATGCTTGTGCTGGGGTTGGAAACTGCTGCACGGGCCCAAGAGCAGAAATGTGCCCTTACTTGTGTAAACTCCAGTCGTGTTGACAGAGCAAGCGGAATGGCTCCCCACTCAACTGCCCAAAACCACCGTGCCACCATGGCAAACATAAATCAAGTGTTTAAATATGGAAAGACAAAGCTTGTTTTTCTATTGACATGATTAACTTACTGTGGACTTGGATGGCAGTGTTAACCTTGTGGGGCCACCTTTTCTTTGCTGTAAAAGAGAAGATATTTTGGTCAAACAAGTTGCCGTTTTACATTTCAGACCCCAGCTCTTCACTAGAGCAAACCCTGCTCTGATTTCAAAGCTTCCTGCCACCTCATCCCTGCTTTTTCTGCACTGACAGATTTTTTTTTTTCTGAGTGTGCCTGTTGCTACCCAGGGGACACCCACTAACCACAGCTAAGTGGGTCTTCTCATGCCATTTGCCTGCTTCAGCCTGCCAATATTTGGCTACTTTCACTTTAAAGGAAATAGCTTTAAAATGCTGGACTGAGAGACCAAAGGGGTTGAGACCGTGCAGCTGATAAAATCGTTTGTTTGACTTCAAAAAAAAAAGCATCTACTTCTCAGGCTGGGAGCAGAGATTAAAGACAAATATAAACGTGAAAGAAGGAAGAGGAAGGTTGTGCAGGGCTATGTTTGCATAGGTAAAAAAAGTGCTAATGAGAGCAGATCTGGTTTCAATCTGTAGATCTTGTCTTTAAAACCAGGAAAAAACTTTTTTTTTTTATAGGCTCTAGCTCTGAGAACTACACCTAAAGACCATCTCAGTAAAACGCTGTGAATGTCAGAGCATTCAGAAATGCTGGCCAGCACTAGAAATATTTGCTACTCATATGTCAAAAGGTGGCAGAATCTGACAAGCTGACTTGCAGGATCTTGAGACAGCAGGGTTTCACCTTTATTCTTTCACACAGATCCTAAGCAGGTTATTGAATATCATTCATAAACATAGTATGGGATTAGTCACATCACTAAATACCACACAGGATATATATTCACAGTAAAATCCTCCTAACGCTGCTCCCATCCTGTTGTTAACTGGGAATTTCACACCCTGCTTGTCTTTCTTTTGAAGCTCCATTTCTGGAGGGTGCAGACTCCACGGTGCTATGGTGATACCCCGTGCAGGGGACATACCAGCTCCTTCAGCTCCCTCTGCCTCTCACACAGCTGTTCATACATTCTCTTTCCCACGTCGGTGCTTTCCAGGGTGGAGATGATCTGGAGCTGGGTGTCGTTGTTATCGATGATGTTGTACTCCAGCATCAAGCACAAAATCTAGCAGAGCAGAACGAAAGAAGAGTGGCCACGTCCATGGCTTACATTCCATTTCTTTCAAATATCCTAATTACACTGGGCATGGGAGTTTAAATTCCTGGCTAAGTTTTTAGAGCATGCATTATGTAGGTTAGATTAGAGGATTGTAGCAACATCTACTGACCTTCCAACACAAGAAACCAATTTTTTGTTCATAAAGAATGAAGTGTTATCTCTAAAAGTCAGCCTGTCCATCCTGTCTTCCATTAGTGCTCATTCCTTCTGACTGAGAGGTGCAATTACTTTGCATCAGACCTGGAAGATGGCTCCAGGCCACAGCCCTCTTCACAACAGGCACAATCAATCCAGTATTTCCCAGGTACACTGGATAGGCTGTGCATTGGCAGAGCTGGGACATTACACTCCAGCAGCAGAGCCAAGCAGCTCCTTAAGTGCTGGATTTTCTGTCCCTCAGTGCTGAGGTTTCTGTGCAAGCAGAACATGTGGGAGTTGCATCCAGTCCATGAGGCACGATGGGAAAAGCTGGGGAGGCTCTGAGAGAGGATGATGCTGGGAACTCACTGCTGAGACCAGGACACCCTCCAGCTCACTGAGGACACACCTGACTCACCCCTGGGAAAGGGGCTGCCAGGAACAAGTTAGACCTCAGAGGCTGATTCCAGACTTAGGACACAAGCTGCCCCTCCATGCTGCCTTTCCTTTTCAGCTATGTATCATGCCATTGCAATTAAAATGCAAATTTCTTATTCCCTCCATAATTTCAATTATTTTTTAATGAAAAAAAAAATCCAGCAATAGCATATTCAAATGCATGCAGCATTCTCCTTAATTTACTGGATTGAATTAGCATGGACAGCTCTAAGTCAATGAAAACTTGTAACTCCTTCCACCTATTTATCTACTTCCACTTAAAATATGACATTTATCAAGAAACTTGGAAAAATATATATAAACTACTAGTGCAATAATAATGACCAATCATAAGCACAAAAAATGTGTATTGATATAAGCAAATAAGGTTTTGTAAATGTACTTCTTGTGCACTGCTCATTTTGCAGGTGGTAAGACAAGCATCAAGCATTTTGTCATGGAAAAGCCTTGTGGTTGTGAATTCTGACCCCTCACCACAGCCAATACCATCATGGCCCACTGATTTCCCATCTTAACCTCTCCAACTGCATTACAGCAAACAATTCCTTCCTCCAAAAATTCTTGCAACAAAACTTCACGTAATTCACCTTCATATCCGCAGAACAACAATACTCTGTTCCACTTCACTGTGAGAAACACAACTGCAAAGTGCTGGTGGTTTGATACAGCACAAACCTGAGCTCTGCTGGGAAAGGCAGTGTGAAGCCAAATGCTCATCAATCTGTATGACCACAAATGTTTAGGGCTTACCTCTACCATCGTCTGGTTACCCCTCAGAGCCAGCAGCATGCAAGGTCCTAATTTATTTTCAGCCAGTGAAAGGAGGAACTTCTTTGTTTTATAGCAGGATCCCATTAAAATATGAACCTATTCGAGAAACAGAGGTAAAATTAGGGGTGTGAGCTCAGAAAACACATATACACCTGAAGGGATATCTGTTATGCAGTCAAAAAATGTTAAATATTTTCAACCAACCAAAAGGAACAGAGACCCTCATTACAATTAACAGTTGCAGACTCTCAACAGCCTTACTGCTGAATGGAGGTGACTTTCTGAAGAAGGTGATGCCTAGCGAGATCTGAGGGAGTGGGAAGTTTCTCTCCACAAGGGAGCTCAGCTGACAGCCCACAGGAGCCTGATAGAGGCTCCCCAGGAAACACCAGAGCAGCTGTGCAATTGCCCCCATTCCCAAGTAACACGATGAACCAGCCCCAGGGGAACCACTGGGGATTTTGCTTTCGCATCTGTTCGCGGTTTGGTTTCCCTGGAAGTGCCAGCTGGTGAGCAAGGGGTTTGTGTCTGGGTGAAAGGCAGCGGTGCTGGCAATCTGCTGGCCTTGGTTAAGGGGTGGTGATGGACAAAATCACCTGTGCAGGACGAACAGACAGCAGTTGAGTGGGGAAGGAAGGACTGCTTTAAGGAAATCCAGCAGCCCTGAGCCCGAAGTCAGAGACGACTTCATGTGCTTTCATGTGCTTGAGTCATTATCTTGTTTTCTCTTTTGCTCAGTTTTCCTCAAAAGGAAAGCAATGCTGAGAACATCCCCTGCGTAAGACTCCTTCGAGTCCACCAGTTCACAAAGGTGTCCTGCAGACTCTCTCCGAGCTCCAGACAGCATTGTATGACATCGCATAGTAACACCCATTGCAGAAATGCAAAGCCACTTGTATAAATCAAACCAAAGTCTCTTCTCACAAAAGAGGTTTGGCCATTTATTCCCCATTTAAAAGCCCTAGAAATCAGCTGCAGAGAATTTTGGGTTCCTAGCTGAATCTTATTTCATAGCCCAGATGGCTGATTCCCCATTTGGTGGGGAGCACTGTGTGAGAATTTGTATTTTCCAATGGCCTGGGCAGGAAGAGCTCCATGATGTAGATTCAGCATCAGCACTACTCTACAATGACCCTATAAATTCATTTTGTGGTTCCCCTGGTTCATGGCATTGCCTGGGCTGTGTTCAATACTGCTGAAAGCAGCACAGCCATGCCATGATGATGTCAATTCCACGTGAATCACGTGCTACCACACAATTGTGCTTCCTCGTGGCTTCACTACCAGCAAGGTCTTCAGAGAAACAAAAAATCTTTTTTTTCTTAAGCATCCATCAGCTCAGGCGGCCTTTGGCTTGAAGGTTAACATTAACCTTCAAGCCAAAATGGATTTCATTTCATGCAGTTTTCATTAAGCTTTTTTAGAGGTTTTCTTGAGCGATAGAAAATACTGACTCTCACACTAATGTAACATTAGGTGCATCTCAGAACAGGATGTTTTCCAAACTTATGGTTAGTCGTTAGCAGCTCTTTAAGTATTTATCAACATCCTTGCAAAGGGCACAGAGTGCTGCATATTAATGTCTGTTAGCATTGTGCTTTCTCATGCACACCATCTCCTGATGCTCATAAATTTCTTGAGCCCAACCAGCTCTCAGGAGAAATGACACAGTTCTGAAGGAATTTTTTCAAAAGATAAAAGACATAAACAGTGAAGAGGGATGAAACCTTTTGTGAACAGTCTTTGTTCATTATCTGTTTCAAAGGTATCTGATCCATCTGAATTTAAGAGTACAGACAGACATGCATGTTCTTTATGTCCCAAAACGTTCAGCATGTGGGAGATGTACAGAAGTGCAGCTCTCCCTGAAAGTCACTTCACTGTGTACCCAACAGCCAACTCCAACAAATGTTTTTCCCCTTACCAGGGAAAGGCAGTAATATCATTTCCATCTTACTTGCTATATGGAGAATTAATACAGAGCAAGACCTACGTGACTTGACCCAGGTTGCACAGGAAGACAGTGCTTAAATCACATCACTGATTAAAACCTGTTATTTTCTGTCTAGTCCTTCTCTGAGTTCCAAAAGAAATAACTGCTGGAAATGGAATAGTGGTTTCTAATTACACCTCCTCACACCAATGTAATTGAGCAGTCACTGATACATCATCTTCTTTCTTTCTTTCTTTCTATCTATCTGTCAGTCTATCTATCTTTTTGGTTAAGTCGATGTTACTGTTTTTAAATTCCAGGGTAGCCTATAAATGAAAACTATAGGTGTGCATGCACAGAACAGCCTGTCTCCCCTGTCTCCCAGTATTCCATGTTTCCTGGGACAGTTTTTTACACAGACACACAAACACACATATTTATCAGTACAAAAATAGATACATATGCACAGGCATGGTTTGTGCATTACACTACCAGTGAGAACATATGCCAAAGTCCAAAGGGAGAAGAATAATGTGCTAAACAAACTGTGACTGCAAGGGAGGTCAATGGATTTGGTGATAGAAAGATTTCCTGGTGAATGTTCCTGGTTTACAGAATCATAATTTCAATAGTTTTTTTTTTTTTGACAAAAACAAATGAATCTTGTTCCTACCAACTAGGCATTAGCTACTTACTGAAAGGAGGTTTCTAAACTCATATTATTGCAGACACGTACCATACTGGCAAACAGCTCTCCATCATCATCACAGGCCACCCCTCCAGGGCTGTAGAGCTGGAACCAGCCGTCTTTGCCAGCCCGCACGCTCAGCAAACAGGAGTGGACCTGCCAAAAAGTGAAGACATTGGGAAGGTTAAAATTCCTGCCAATAATCACCAGCGTCTCCCACACCGGGCTGAAAGAAGTAACTGCAAAACCAGGGCCTGCTGGAAATTTCGTGGTTGATATCCCAACCTACAGAGCTGAAGGCCTTTCTCCACTCACAGAACCCATTTTTTTCAGTATAAACCAGGTGCATCATCCCTAAATGCTTGGCCTTTTTCATTCCCTTTACACAAATCAAACACAAAATGGCTCTAATTTAGAACAGCTCCTTCTACTTGGGAAAAAACCTCCCACCAAAAAAACCACAACCAAAAAACCCCCACCAATTTCTGAGCTTCTGCCATTTCCCCACGCCCTCCCAGCATGTGTGTCTACACGTCTGATGTGAGCTGCATGCCAAATGCAGTGGCTGATGGTTTGCTCATTCCAATCATCAAAAATCCTTATTACTCCTGCTCTAATAAAATTTGACCAGAGTCAGGGTGAAAGGAAGTCCACAGGGAAAACTCAACAGGGATGTGTAACACAGAAGTTGCACTAAAGAACTGGCACCAGTGAGCAACCATTAGTCTAAATTTGTCCCACTGTAGAGATTACTATATTTAGTCCCACAGTTTAATAGAAGAGTCATAATTAAGCTTTTTTTTTTTTTCTACCCTCGAAGACACAGATGTTCCATTTCAATGTTTGAGGTCTGTGTGGGGGGAGGTAAAATCCATGCTCTTTGCTTTAAGGATGCAACACCAGTGACATATGAAATCCTGGTGCCATTCTAGGATAAGAGGGTTTTATCTGACAGGGGTAACTACTGCTCACAAGGGGTAAAATCATGAAAACCAGGAGTTCTGGGCAATGATGACGATGCAGCCTCACCCACAGTCTGAGGGAGCTTTGTTTCCTTTATGCCAAAAGCAAGGATTATTGTGGATGAGAGGTTCCCTCTGACTCAGCCAAAGCTGATGATGTTGAACAAGCTACCAGTGCAGCAATGAAGCAGCAGCCACCACGACACAGTCACTGCAGTAACACACCTCCCACCCCCTTTTCTCCTGCCAATTGATGAGAATTATGGTCATTTGTACACAATGTGGCTGAAACACAGCTAAATGGAACCTGTCATTTTGTAGGCTGTATGATGGATCCATGGATTCTGCTTCACTTTTTTGGTATGAAAGATGACAAGCTCTGAGAGATTCCAAAGAGTGGGAAAATCTTTCTGGCTACAGGCTGCTGCAGAACAAGGACATCAACTGATGCCAGACAGGAGGTGACAACACACGCTTACACATAAGGCCAGAAACCCTTAACAGTGGATGTCCTGAGTGG